GTACGAATCTGATTCTGATACAAAAAACGGTTGAGAAACACAGAAACTCCAGGCTAGGAAAAGTTGCTATGGGATACTTTTCAGTTCATAATGTTCATACTGGAGTTTAGCCAAATAAATCTAAAATTTCATCTGACTGCTGTAGGAGCCCTCATACAGTATATAGTCTCTTACAGGAGCCCTGATTTCGAGACAACCTGGCTGGAATATCTGTTGCTGATGCCCATATGAAACATTTCTTATTCACTGTCCTAAATTAACTCCATTTTAGTTTCCAGTTATGATCTCATGTCCTTGTTTCATTGCTGAGTATGAAATAGTCCCTTGTGTTGACTATTTCTATACTATTTAGGATTTCGTGTACTTGGATTTAATCTTTTCTCAGTTTCCGTGAATCTAGACTGAAGAGATACAGTAGGTCCCTTAGAACAGAAATCATACTTTTCATTGAACTCATTCTCAGACTAGTATAACCTTTTTGTGGTATGGGGACTGCTAAACCGACTTTTACTAGTGTATAATGGTAGTCTGATAATTCCCACAATTTAAATTGCACACGTGCTGGTATATACCCAAGCATTCTGTTATTTTACTGCTTCAGTAAAGCAGTGTCTTCATGAGGACAAGAATCTATATTAAAAACCCAAACATCTGCAGCTTTCTGCAGCTCAGAATCACCCCATGTGAAATGTGTAGTAAATGTTCCTCCTTCCTTTATGGCTCATTTTGTTCTTATCAAAGTAAAATTTCATTTGCCAAATGTTTGCACAATCCACACATACATACAGTACAACTGCCCAGTTCATGAATTTCCCAATGGTTCTGTCACTTCTATTCCCTTAATTTCCTAGTTGTTTGAAAAGACTAGGTCAATAACGGCATGTTCCCTTGTTGGCACCTTTACACCTTAACACCTTTGGGTTAAGAAGCAATCGTTAACCATTTCAACCATATCAATTTAATCTTCTGTGTTCCCCAACACAATATGCAAATTTATGGGGAATACGGATTTCTCACTATAATGTATGACCATTTGCTTAGTACCTTCCTGAACATACGTTAATTGTAAACACATATAGATTCTCAACTTTATGTACAGTAAGCTTAGCTCTACAGCCATCATGCCTGCCTTTCAGAAAAAAGGTTCAATCCTGTAATTTTACATTCATACCTATCATTCTAACCTAGCCAAGTTCCAGCTATTTCTAATATGCCATACTTTTGGATTATTGTAGTTATCTTATCTGTGTTTCTATTTAAGAATGAGTATTTTATGTTTTTTATTCCTGCTTGTTACTGTATGTCCTGCATGTACCGTATAACACATGTGAGCAACTCCAGAACATGCACATGGCTTTATAAAACTTTTTCTGTGACACTAATACTGTATTAACATTCAGTTTGTTGTAACATTTTGTGTTTTTCAAGCAAGGTTTTACTGAAGAATTAATTTCTATGCATTTTTTTAAATGAATTTCTGAATTTTATTAATTGGGACTGTTTGTCTGCCCCTTTTGAACATATCAAGACTATTGAAGATTATAATAATTTAATAATAATTCAATTAATGAGCTCTTTTTCAATACCATTTTCCTGGTGAAAAATTATAGGAATGTCTCACACATTAAAAAAAGAAATTCAGAGCAGTTATTGTGTTCTTAAGTTCATTTGTAACACTGGACAGTATTTCCTGCATGTCATTGGCTGCTATTGACCTTGAATGCTATTTTGCCTGATCTGCAGTCCATTTTTCCTTGCTAGAAATATCTTTCACATTTTGACTGCAATTTATTTATCCAGCCTAATTCTGTGCTAACTTTGCCTTAACTGGGATAACAGGTCCAAAGTGAACATAGCAAATTGAACTTTCTGACATTTCCACAAGTACAACCTAATGCCTGTTCATCCACAGAAAAATTTAAAGTAATCCTCATAGTCTTGTGCTTGGCTATACCATGATCAGATGTGAAATGTGTGTCTTCTTTGTTAGCTTTCTTCTAATAATGTAATAATGTAGGCATAGCAGATTAACAATTATGCCAATATCTCTAATTGACAGAGAACAGCAATTAGGCAGCATCTTCTAACATTTATAAATAAGTAGTATGCCTTATACAGTACATGAACTACAATTGCACAAGGTTGCACAAATTTAGATCATTATTCTTTTAATCCAAAGTTTCCAAAATCCAGAATGTTTTGTTTCAGTAGCACATTTGGTCAAATTATTTTTTTTGCAGCTGTTTTTTTAAACAAACATTACACTGATCACGGCTGTCCCTTTCTTGAAAACAATAAATGTTTTTTTTTTCTTAAAGGCCTCAACTTTACTAAAGAGGAAGTGTTCTTCTTTTGTTCCCTGCTCAAAATCATTTTACTGGCTCTACATTTAGTGATTATAAAAACATAAAAATAATCCAATGAATATGTAATGTTGTTTGTGTTGCAACTTCGTCATTGTTAATTTCTTAGATTGTACCTATAGTATTAATAGGTTTGCCATACTTATCCTATCTGAAGCTGCCAGTTACTTCCAGATAAATGAAGACTGGTACCATCAGGGCTAGCTACCAGGGTCAAAAACTATGACCAAAAATCAAAATATTAATCTTGGGTCTCCTGGGAATTAGTAAACTATAGAGTTTGGCTTCTTTTCAAAGGGCAACTAAAAGCTTTACTGGTGCTTTGTGAATTTGTAAAAAGCAAATGGTACTGTACCAGAACACATGTCTGACAGAGAAATGAGTCCCAGAGATCTGGGTGAGAACAGTGCAGTGTTTTAAGTCTCAACAGGACAAGGGAGAGTGAGAAAAGAAAATATAGGTCTATACCAAAGATTGGCTTTAAGGACAAGAACACCTTGGGACAATATGTTTGCAGATGACTTGATGACAACAATCACGATGTGATGGGAATGTCTAGACAGATAAAGATAAACACCAGAAAAACAGAGGTAATATTAAGCTGCAGAGGTGGACAAGAAGACAAAAAACAGAAACGTCTTTGATGAAAAACAGTCAAGACAAATTAGGTATCAACTTTAGTGAAGAAGGTAAATGAGGGAAAGAGTAAGAGCTGGTGGGGAACTCTCCAAGGTGACTTGAAGATGACATAAGAGCAAAATTTACAAAGCAATAGTTAGCTTTATTTCTGCTTTATGGAGCAGAAGCTGGGCCATATGAGGAAAGGTAGAGGATATTTTAGAAAGAAAGAATTGAGAATGCTAGGACAGATGAGAGGAATAATGAATTATGACATCAGAAAAAAGAGTTCACAGATAAAACAGGAGAGACAAGACTGAGAAGATCTGGATCTGGAGAAGAATAGGTAGTGTGGAGTAGTTCAGGTGGGGAGCTGTGTCAGCAGGCTGCAAAGGAACAAGTAATACAGTAGGTTTATTCCATGCTGAAAAGAGAAGAGAGAAAACACAACGTTTCGGCTGTGAAGCCTTCTGCAGTGAAGTGTGAAGTGTCAGTGGAGGTATGAAAAAGTAAATGGAGACGAGGAATATGATGGAAAGGTGTGAACGGGAATATAAGAGAATTTGGTTCACCCAAAAATCATGCAAAAAGTGGTAACCTATGAAAAGAAATGCCACAAGGAATTCACTACATACCAGTTTAAGATATAGAAGAAGAATAATTCAAAAGGGCTTGTTCATTGCCTGTTTAAAAATGACAAAACAATTACAACCCCACAGAAGGCGTTACAGAATAGTTTGTAGTGAAAAGACAGGAGAGCATATGGTATAATGTATTTTTTTTTAAGAAGTTTAATAATTTTCCACACTTATCAGCTGCTTCTTCTTTTTTTTCCTTGTATCTCAGCAAGCCTCACTCTGACCCCACCATTTTCTCTTGCAGTATACTGTATATGTAAATTACACCCAGTAGAAAACAAGAGGATGTTGATTGCAGGTGTAAATCACCCATTTGAAAAAAGCAAAACAAACAAAAACAGACAATGATCCCTGCAGATGCACTTCATTCCTACGGCTGTGTTTAAGCCTCACTGCAATTCCACAAATCTTTTATAATAAACTACATTCTGTGTAATGACTCCAAGATCAGGCAAAGCTTCAATAAAAAGAACATCAGAGTATTAATGAGAACATTATGGGAAAAGCATTAAAATCTTAGACCATAATATTAATAGCTAGAAACCAAACAGCCCTAACATCACATGTGATAAATGAAACGATGCAATATGAATAAAGCAAAGCAATAACAGTGTATGCTTGAACAACTGTTTGCCTTTTGTTTATTGTAACCTTGTAATTAATCATTTGAGCACAGAGAAGGTGATGTTTACTCAGCCAAATGTCACTGAGTACTTAAAGGTGTGGGATTAAATCCTTTAGAGGTTCTGAGGAGAGTTATTATAAATATCTTTACAGCTAGGGGCACTTCCAAATTATGTTAACGAAAAATACAACATAGCAACCCATTTTTCACATTGCTGCGACAAACCAGCAGGGATTAGTTTCCTGTCTGGGATTAAGGAAAAATGTATGGGATTAAAAATTGTATTTAAAAACTGCAGAATAATATTTGCATATGTATGAACATTTCAGCACAGAAATAAAAATAACACAATATTAACAAACAGAATAATGTAGGAAAAAACACCATATTTCCATACTGCCTCCAATTCAATATGATCATTACCAGACACCAGTACTGTAGGTGTCAACCAACTAATGTAACACCAGCAGGGGAGGCTGTACATAGCACAATTCCACAGTTCCCAAAACATTTATTAGATGAGGACTTCTGCTAAATTCTCACAACATTTTGGCAGATATGAAGAAACATTTGCTATAGCTATTTCTTACACTTGTTCTGTTTATCTTCAGAATCCTGAAAGATTAAAAAACGCACAGTACATTTTTACTAAACATGCACTTCATAATAGCATAAAGTTGAGATCTTTAATCCCTCAACCAAATCCAGAAATAAATATATTTCAATTAATAAGAAGAAAAAATTGGCCCATCTCACCTACAGTAGGTGTCTCATGGGAAACATCGGATTTCTGATTTCGGAGGCACTGGATCTGTAAATATCCCTCAAACATCATCTTGGTGCAATCAGCCTGTCTTCTCCAGTTTGACCCAGAGCAGACAAATGTATCTTTGTGAACAATGTAATGAAGAAATACAAAAAGTATTTTATATCTGTACTATCTAACTTACAGAATGTACTAAAACTCATAACAATTCATAACAACGGGTTTAATCAACAACTTTTAATTAATCAATGCAGTGAATGAGTGTCAGGCCAGAGCACAGGCCCAGAATTTAAGATAACCAACACGAAAGAATGGTAGCATTAAATCATGGTGACAATTA